GTCTTCATTGCATGAAAAATTGGTAAAATTTTTAAAATTTTAAGAAAAATTAATGTAGTTGCATTCATCTTGTTAAGCATTTTAGGATTGAGTCTAGGATTTTTAAGCATCTAAGTTGTTTGCATTTGCATAAGGGATTAAATTTTTCTTAAAAAGGTGTTTTAAGCTTATGAATGGTTTAAATATCCTAGTTGGTAGTTCTCTAATGCTTTGCTCATACTTTGAAAGTAAGTTCTTACCATGCTTGGATCACTTGTTTTGATTTTCGTGGCTTGAATTGAACTCTCATGATTTGAAACTTGTCCTATTAAGTGAGAACCCTAACTTGAATTTTTAAATATCATCCTTATGCATTTGAAAATGAACACATGGATTTTAAAATATTTAGGCTCTCTTCTTCCTTTTACCACTCTTTGTGAGCCTAGGTAGAACTCCCACCTTGACCCTTACCTTTTTTTGAAGCAAGTTTTCGTGTGTGACATCATTGTGAGGCCTCTTCCGGTTTGAACTTAGCATAAAATGTTACGTTTAGACGACATGATTAGGTTCTCATATGATTGCTAGCTTTGCATTTTGAAGCTAGATGTGGGCTTAGGATAAGTTTGGGGGATCATTGGGGTTGCTTTCATACTTATATGCTTTCGGTTTCAAAAAGAGTTTGGTATTTGAAGTAAGAAAATGATTTTAAGTGAAAGGTTTTTTGTTTAAAAGGTAAAATGCTCTATTAATTTCAGAAGATAACTCTCTGAAAATAAAAATAAAAATATATATAAAAAAAGAGATAAATAAATAAAAGAGCCTAAGTGCCAAAAATAAAAGAAAAGAAAAGAAAAAAAATATATATATATATATAAGAGAGTTATCGATAAGAAAGAGTTAAAGAGCTTATTATTTTCAAACATTTTCACTAATCTCAAAAAGTTAAAATGCTTTCTGTTTTGTTTTGGGGATTGCTAAACTTTTGCTTTGGAAAAAAGGGTAAACTCTAAGTGGTGAGTGAGCTTAATTTAAAATAAATGAGAGGGGTTTTAGGATCATTGTTAGTTTACATTGGTAGATGAGAATCTGATCATGTATGCATCAATTGCCTTTACCTTTAGCATTATGCATAAAGTTCTTACCATTTTTGAGAGAAACCCTTGCCTTAAATAAAAACTTTTTTTAAATGAGATCATTCTATGCTCATAGCTTTTACCCTTAGCCAAATGTGTTCTGCTTTAAAGTGCATAAGTTTGATCCATGGTTCGGTTGTTAATGAATGTTAAAGGATGAGTTTCTTTGATTGATTGGAATAGGAGAGTCACGATCTGAAATTCTTTGTGTGATTAGTATGGCTAAGTTATTTGGAGTATGAGTGTGTGTATTGCATTTTAGAACTAGTAATTTGGACGTTGAGATTGATTCATTTGAAAGACACCTTTGCAAGAAGCTTAAACCCCCGTTTGTTTTAGAAACTTCTCTCCCTTCTTTAATTTTGTTTGCTTGAGGGCAAGCAAAAGGTAAGTTTGGGGGAGTTGATATAGCTGCATATTCCAAGCATTTTGCATACATATAAGTTAGTTTCTCACGCATATACATTGCATTTTAGGTTAGTTTGCATCACTTTAGGTCCTAGAGTGTTCTTGCATCAGCATATGCATATTTCTTGCATTTTGCATTGCATACAGGTTGTTTTCGGCTACTTTGGAGTCTTGGAAGGTTCGTAGACATACTGAGGCTCGTGAGGAAGTTCATGGGACTTGGAGGATTCAGGAATGCTTGCTAAGGACCAGAGATCGATAGGAGGATCGAGCATGGCCGGTCGATCTAGATGAGATCGACCAGAAGATCGAATAGTCCAGCCGATCCAAGGGAACTGATCGAGACAAAGATCGAGTGAAGTGACCGATCAAGGAGTACGGACGTAAATGACGCCATGCAGATCGAGAGTCAGATCGAGTCAACCACTCGATCCTCCAAAGGTCGATTCCAAGATCGAACGAAGCACCTGATCCACCGAAGAAGATCGAGACACAGATCGAGCCGAAGTCACGATGTCCGAAGATGATCGAGCGAGGTGTTCGATCTCGAGGTCGATCTCAGTGCCTTAACCGTTTTTGGCCGCTAGCGGGGGGGGGGGGGGGGACCATCGAGCTGTTTGGCCTATTTTGGGAAGGCGGCGAGTATGCTTTTGGGGGGACGTTTTCACTTTATCATTTTTTCATCTTTTTCTCTCTGTTTGAAGGTGATTCCGCCATTGTTAGACTTTGAGCTTTGTTCTTGAATATTTCGAATCGTTTTAAGCTTAATCCATCGTTTTTATGTTTATCGTTTCATCTTTCATGCTTTGCTTGGTTTATTTACTGTGTAGTGAGTAGTTTAATCGGGTTTTGGGGTTGAGAGGATTCAAAGGGGTCGAAAGGGTTTTCAAGTTTGGTGTTTTCTTGTTCTTAATGGCTTTCTCTTCTAGGATGTCGAGTTCTTAAGACTTAAAGAGTCTCACGCCAAGATCTTTATGATCAGAGAGAGCTCTTACCTATCTCTGAAATCGCATCCTAGAGATTAGTTACTCTTTCCCAAACGTCATGGTAGTTTAGAGGACTAGTTAAGCTGTGTGTTTGAAATCTGTTTTCCTTGCCTTTCAATCTCTTCTTCCGCCAAACGCCATGGTTCTGGAGGAGAGAATGAGAGAGTAATCCATATCACACGCCATGGATGGATCTTGTTTTGTTTTCAAGGCTTAGAGAACCGCACAAAGTGAGTAGATCTAGAGTTTTCAAACCAAGCTTGTACCTTTGAAACCCCTGAACGTGAATCTCAACCTAAGACCCTCTTTCTAATATTTCTTAGTCTATGTTGATCATTCGCTCGTTGCTTGCTTGCACCTTGGTCATTAGATTCGTTTTGGCTTAACCTATCTTTTAGATCGATCGTTGTTGCTCGATCTAGTGGTCGATCCTGTGGTCGATAGCTTTGCATTTTTAATCATTCTGCTTGTTCGTCGTGGTAGCTAGTTCATTCATGGTATTTTTAAAATAGTTTTCCCCTGCATATAATCATTGCATCTAGTTTTTAGGAATTTCACAAAACCGTTCACCATTTGCCTAGCTTTACTCGATCCTTACATTCTCATTGCACTTTCTAGCTCCTGGATTGGATTGATTCCTCTTGCATGCTATACTACGACTGTGTGCTGCTTGAGTTTTGATAACCTCCTGTTGCATTGGCTCACCCCTAGAAAAAGCCTATTATCACTCTCTCTCTTCTCTCTTTCGTATCTTTCAGTTTCAGAGAGAGAGAGCGATGGTTTGTTTTTGTTTTCAGTTGATCGGATATTAAAATCTGGTTCTTCCAGATTTCTTTGTTTTTCTTCCTTCCGATCAATTTTGATTTTTACTTTCGGCTTTGTCCGATTTTGTTTCCGTTTATCGAAATTTCCCTTCTGCATGTTTTCAATTTTATCACAGCTAAATTTGAAGAAATCCTCTCCGCTGTTGGATATGCTGGATCTTCTTCTGAAAGAGCAATTCCTTCACTTTTCTGTTAATAGATCTCGAAGGTCGTGAAGTGGAGGTTTTTTTTCGAGGAATAGAATCGAGAATTTGGGAATTAACTTGGGTGATTTCGGCGACGGAATATGTAGAGCTGGCGCTTCTCTGATGTGGTGGTCCGGCAAATATTTTGTTCCTTTCATCTCTGGTTACTCTTGCTATGATCTCTGACGGTGTGATAAGAAAGTTTTTATTAAACAGCAATTGTGATCAGGCCCGGTTCTAGGCATGGGCTGGAGGTCTATTTGCACAAAGTCTTAATATTTTTTTTTTGTTTTTAAGGCTTGTTAAAAGAGCCTAAATTTTTTTTTAAAAAAAAATCTAACTAAAAAAAGTCCATTTGTTTGTTTTTAGCTCAAGGTCCTCTTCAATATTGGGCCGGGGCTGATTGTGATCTATGCAGTTTCGCGGTGTTTTCCGTTTAGATCGCATCGGTGGTGGAAAATTCCAACGGGGGTAGCGACACTGCAAACGTCCTCTTCGTTAATAAAAAGCGTGTCTTTTCTTTGCTTTACTTTGTTTACACATATTATACACGTGTTGTTGGCTCGTTTTTAGGTTAATAGCTTTTATTGGGCCCAACCGAGATGTAAGTTGCTCTGTCCTTGATGGGCTTTAATGTTATCCGAAGACGGAAAAAAAAGAGGGTTATTTTGTAATGTACTCTTTAATTTAAAGAGAATTACAAAAATAAAACAGAGAAAAAGCTCATATCCCCCATCCTTTAAAATAGTCATAATGACTTCCCTATAATCTTTTGCCTTCCCCAAACACGAACTACACTCTCTCTCTCTCTCTCTTTCTCTCTCTCTCTCTCTCTCTCTCTTTCTCTTTCTCTCTCTCTCTCTCTCTCAAAGTCTTAATATTTTTTTTTGTTTTTAAGGCTTGTTAAAAGAGCCTAAATTTATTTTTAAAAAAAACTCTAACTAAAGAAAGTCCATTTGTTTGTTTTTAGCTCAAGGTCCTCTTCAATATTGGGCCAGGGCTGATTGTGATCTATGCAGTTTCGCGGTGTTTTCCGTTTAGATCGCATCGGTGGTAGAAAATTCCGACGGGGGTAGCGACACTGCAAACGTCCTCTTCGTTAATAAAAGCGTGTCTTTTCTTTGCTTTACTTTGTTTACACATATTATACACGTGTTGTTGGCTCGTTTTTAAGTTAATAGCTTTTATTGGGCCCAACCGAGATGTAAGCTGCTCTGTCTTTGATGGACTTTAATGTTATCCGAAGACGGCAAAAAAAAGAGGGTTATTTTGCAATGTACTCTTTAATTTAAAGAGAATTACAAAAATAAAACAGAGAAAAAGCTCATATCCCCCATCCTTTAAAATAGTCATAATGACTTCCCTATAATCTTTTGCCTTCCCCAAACACGAACTACTCTCTCTCTCTCTCTCTCTCTCTCTCTCTCTCTCTCTCTCTCTCTCTCTCTCTCTCTCTCTCTCTCTCTCTCTCTCTCTCTCTCTCTCCAAAGATCTAACAATTTTTTGTGTTCTGAAATGGCAACAGAAGAAATGAAGCCAGAAACTAAGAAATCAGAACAGAAGCAATCCACAGAAGTGAAAGATCTTCCTCCTCCACCAGTTCCACTTGCATACAAGGTAGTTAATTAGATCCCTTCATGCATTCAACTACAAGTATAGGTTTCAATATTTGAAAAGATAGTCAATGTGTTCAGTTTCAACGCTTCACTATTCTAAGATGAAACTTCTGACCAAGCCTATTGATTAATTTTCTACAAGTAAACTATTGTTGTTTGTCTTATATCTCTTTACAATAATTATTTTTTTGAGTAGTCTATTTATATTTGAACTCGCAGACATGCAACTTGAAAGTTTCCACTCACTGCGATGGCTGCAAAAGAAAAGTGAAAAAAAATCCTTACCACCATTGAAGGTTACATAAACCCTTTTGCTTAATTTATTATTTATTTATTTATAATATTTTATTTGTTTTGTGGTTAATTTACAACAATGTTTATGATTCAAGTTTTAAAATTAGAAGTACCTCTAGTTTTCACTGAGTGTATTGGGAAGTTATGTAGTATGGCTAATTTATTATTCTTAACGAGTTTACAAGTGTAACTTTGGCTGTAGGTGTTTATAGAGTGGACATTAATGTGAAGCAGAATAAGGTAACGGTGATGGGAATTGCCTCACCGGAGATTCTGTTGAAGAAGCTTCACAAGGCAGGCAAAACCGCCTATCTATTGCCGGAGATACCCGAACCTGTTGACCCGAAAGAGAATAAACCGGAAGACCCGAAAGAGAACAAACCCGTCGTCCCAAAACAGAAGAATAAGAAGAAGAAGAAAGAAGAACCGGAAATAACCAATGTAAGTACCTCTTCCGGTACTGATAAACCGGAATCTGGAAAACCCGATGGCGCCGGAGAGTGTAGTCCCGGCAACGAGAAAAAGGTCGTTCTTAAAGAGAATGATTCTGTTCCGGTGGATTCTCCATCACCGCCACCGGTGGATTCGCCGGCGCCGACAGAGGAGAAGAAAGCTGAAGAAAGCGGTGGAAATGTTGGTAAAAAGAAGAAAACGATGGGAAAAAGAATAAACAATTCTACCGGTGGGCCTGTCCGTACTCAATCACTTCCTCCTCCGGCCACTACCCCTGAAGCAGGTCAGGACCGTCCATTTAATCAGAACGATGGCCATCAAATTTTGACCAATAACAATCCGCCACATGACGATATGTATCCTTACCCACCACACTACTACGCGCCGCAGATTATGTACGGCGTAAGTTATAACGTTGCTCAATCTCCGCCGAGTCTAAATGGTGGGTCGTATTACTCACCTGCGCCACCGCACTCGCACGCTTATATGCATCCGGGATATCTACCGTCCGATCAAAACCTTTATCACCCTCGACCGTCCGATTCGTTTGAGTTATTCAGCGACGAGAATCCAAACGGTTGTTCGGTGATGTGACTGAGAACAAGAAAGTCAATTACCAAGTGACCTTTCATTTTTGCATACGCCTTGTATGACTAAAGGATGGTCTGGTAATTTGACGTTGTACACGTGGATGTGAGCTTATGGTCTTATAGTTAGGTTTAAAACTATATAGAGGAATTGGCTAGTATAGCCACATAAATGCTTTGGAAAATAACTATATCAATATAAGGATTATTATATTTCTTATATATTCTATAATATATACTGAAAAACTATTTGTTTAAAATAGAGTGAAAACTATTTGCTGATGTTAGTAGTAAAAAAGTAAAGATAAAATTTAATATATTATTAAGGTAATAGAAAGACTCTGTCATTATAACTTATTTTCCTATTTGAATTTATAATATATCTCTAATAACATATGGTTTACTACTGGACTATATCATAGTATATGTTCACTATACAACAACACTACTATAATATAGTACGAGAGTTTCCAGTTATATATCATTTCATTGATCATTATATTTTAAATTAAAAATAGTATAGTATTGCAGATACAATTAGACTACTAGATTGCACATTTTCAAATAGTATAGAACTCACTAGTTATGGTATAGATGTGATGGTATAGGTTTTAAACTAAAAAAACTGACTACCTTATACAATAATGACGTCAAAAAAATATATCGCAGTATATGTTTTGCTTAAAATCGAAAGAGTATATTGTAATTTCTATGTGAGTCATAGTTATTTCTCAAATTTTTTGAATAAGATAGTTATATTTTTGGATTGTTTTTCCAATATAGTTATTAAGCAAAAAAGCACAACTATATAACGCACTTGTTCAAAAAAAAAATATAAGTATAACGCGTTGTCAAAAAAAAAGAAAAAGACAAGCTTTTTTTTTTCTTTTTCTTTTTCGCAGCTTTTGTTTTAAATTAATGATTTAGATCATTTTAATAGCTTTTTTTGATATATTTGTATTTATTTATTTATGTGGGTTACTTTTGATTGCTTTCCTTCGTTATATTTTGACTGGATCTTTACTAATTAAAGTTGGCAAAAAAAACAAATTAGTTTATGATTAAGCTATTGTTGAAGTGGAAAGGAGACATAAAAGCAAGAAATGTGGAAGTTGCATTGATGCAATGCTTAGCTGTAATGGAAAGCTAAGATGTGTAAAGTGTAGAAGCTCACTTGGTTATTGATTTCTATTCTCTCTATTTTTAAAAGAAAAATATTTTACAATTTGAGTATAAATATATTCTTTTTTATTAACAATTTCCAATAAATTTTAACCAATAATAATTCAATAAATACAATTATTTTGTTAAAAAATTATATTTTATCATCATTAGCTAATAAAAAATATTAAAAACATAAAACACCTATTTTTTAAACAATTTTTTTCTATAAGAACATAATGAGTATTTGATAGTTATGTTAATTAATATTTTTAATTGTGCACAAAAAAAATTATCGGTGATCTTGTTGAAAAGGTTTTGTGAATTGAATATATAAATGTTTTCAATATTTAAAAAATCAGAATTTTTCATAAATTTTCAGAAATTTTAACTATTTTTACTACTTAAAAAAATTAAATACTTCTGTCTTATTTTTAAAAAGCTAATACTGTAGAAATTTATTTTTTATAATATATCTATACCACATGAAAACAGACAAAAATAAAATGTGTAGTTACATAAAAAATAATAGTACGAAACAAATTAAAAAGATTAAAATATTACTTTTTGACAATAAAAAAATATCTATTTTTTGCTCAACTCATTTTCAATCTATTAGAAGTTCTACCCTTTCTAATAAAAATGTTTTAAAATTTTCAGAAGATACATTCTTTAGTGTTTCTATTAAATTTTTGGAAAACTTCCAAACTGCATTGAAATCTTTATTCCAAATTTCTTAAATTATTCCCAAATTTCTCTAATTCATCACCAAATACCACAAAAAAAAATTACTCACTCCGTTCCTTATTGTTTGATGTTTTAGAAGTTACACAAATATTAAAAAATAATATTGATCTAACTTTATCAATTACTTTTTCTTTATTTTTTAATTTCATGTTTCTTTTTTTAATTGTTTATTTTTTGATTCATTTGGTTTTTAGAAAGAGAAAATGAATAAAAAAAAGAAAAAGCTGTAAAATTTTTCTTGTAAAATGAAGTATAATAAATATAATCTAGAAAATCAATCTATTAGGAACAAAAATAAAACTCAAAACATCATGTAATTAGAAATGGAGGGAGTAATATGTTAAGACATTTCTAACCACAACACTAGTTTTTAAAAGACGTTTTGAAGCATATTTCTTTCCTTTTGGAGGTTTTATCAAGGATTATAGGATCAAGGAGATTCCAATCAAGAAACAAGCTATCATGGATAATTGTAAGGGAAGTCATGAACCCCAATAGAAAAAAGGAGACCATATGGATCCAATGCAACCTGAACAGAGCATTTGGGAATGCAAAGTTGTTTAGATTTGTTCCAAGAACTCATACTGATTATTTGGCAAGATGGGGATCAGATCACAGACTTTTATTCGTTCGGTTAGTGGCATAGAATTTGAGATTTTCAGGTCAATTTAATTTTGACAAAAAAATAGTGTTAGAAACCAGAATCTGCAGAAGTCATGTGTAAAGGTTAGAATCTATGTAAAAATAATGAAACAATTTCAGATTTTTGGAAAGAATTGTCGAAGTGGAAAAAGTGTGCTAATATCAATTCAAAAATCAAACTCCAAGAAGCAAAGAGATCTCTAAACTTGGAAAGCTCTCAAGTTAAACCATATTTTCAGAAATTGAAGGAGTTGAAAATTGAGTTGGCCCAGGTAACAAGAGAAGAGAAGAAAACTTTTTGGAATCAAAAGTTTAAATATGATTGGCTACAGGATAGAGACCTTAACTCAACTTTCTTCCACGGATTTCAAATCTAGACTCATAAAGAATACCATGAACGTCCTAAAAGACAATGATGGTACTGAGCAACTCAGGGGGATCTCCTTTGAACAAGTAGGAAGGAATAACTCCGTGGCTCTTGTCTGGTGTGTTGCTTCTCCTCTTCCAACATAGAGCCATTGTAGCTTTTTCTCCCTTGGTTGAATCATCCTTTTGTTTCTTTGACATCAATCTTCTTTGTTGCAGTAGCAAGTGTTTATCTGGTGGAATCTCTTTGCCATTCATTGTGTTAATACCTGCAAAAATCCCAACACTTTGAATAAGAAACAAGTGTATTATGTGTTCTTTTCAAAATTTAAAAGTTGTATCAAAGTCTTGTTGTAAATATAAAGCTTAAGGGTTCTTACTTTCTAATAATTTCAGTAAGCTCACTAATTATTTTTCTGACTCTCTTGACACAATATTTGTGAAAGAACAACTTACTTGAAGAACAATTTTCGTGATCTTTTGACTCAAAGTAATGAAGTGATGCAATGACTGGTCTGGTGGATTCTCTTTGAGACATTCTCCTCTTTTATCATCCCTAGCTCTTGAACATGCTAATCTCCTTTTTGGTTCATCTTGTACATTGTATTTATTTGCCAGTTTTGTACTTGAATAATCTTTCAAAAACAAAGACAAGTGCATCATATGTAAATTTAAAAATTGAGAAATAGGCTTTGTAATACTTAAACTCACAGTGATTGAATTCAAAAGCTGAAGTAAGAGTGGCTCTGCTGTCTTTTTCACATTCTCCTTTAGACAAATCAGATGTATTATTTATCTTTCTAGTATTGAGCTGAAGCTGGTGACAACTCCATTCTTCTCAGGGGCTGGCTGGCACGTTTTGTCCTTTGTATGTTGCTCCATGTCATCTTTTAAACCTGCATTATCATCCTTGGGCAGAGACAGGTGCATTATACTAGAATTTGAAATTTTTAAATCTGTTTTGACTAGAATACTACTTGATTTAGACAAATTCAGTTCAAGTTCTAGTGAGGTTGATTTTAGTTATCTTTTAGGATAGACTGCAGCAAAATGTCCTCTATTATGACATCTATAACATGTAGGTTGATTTTGTTTCATAAAATTAGAAAACTTACCTTGAGTATCTCTTCTTTTTGGTTTAAGTGGAGGTTCTGAACTTTTCTTTTGTACACCATCTTGTGTTCCTAGAAGTTGATGGGTGTCTTTTGGTGACACCACTGACTTAGCTGTTATCTTCTTCTCTTTATAGTTGGGCATCACGTTCTTAGGTTCAAAAAAAGGAGTATTGTTTGGCTTTGCTTCTGAATTTGATCTTGTTGCTAGAATCCATCTCCTTCGGATGGGGTTTAAATCAATCTTCACATAGTATTGCTTGTTGACTTCAGCATCCCTCACAAATTATTCATACATAGACTTCTTCATGTCTTTTTTATCCCAATGACTAAATGCATCTACAGTAAGAGTAGCTTAAGCATAAGATGTTTTCTCCTTTTCTGAAATTTGGTTTGATAAAAACCAATCTTCTATGTCTCTTTCCCATCTCAGATATGCTTCTGGTCCTTGGCTATGGCCTGAAAAGATGATGTATTGTTGTTCAGCCTCATTGTTCCAAGGTTCTTCATCAAGCTGATCAGTTTCTCCTAAACTGACATTGGACTGAGTTTCTTCATGGTAAGGATCCACGAAATTGTCTTGTTCTTCCTCCTCATTGAACTCCTCACGTTCAGTCTCCCTTTGGTGCTCTCCTTCTAGACTGATTTGAGATTCAGTCTCTTCACACCATGAATCACCTTCATGGTAAGCTTCTTCTTGGTTGCTTGTGCCATCTTGGTAATAATCTGGTGGTTCAGGTTCAAGCTCTCCACCTCGTGGTTCATCTTCAAAATCAGAGCCTGAATAGTCACCTTCATGCCATACTTCTTGATACAATATGGAAAAACACTAAATTAAATATTTTCATTATATGGATTTATTATTAGAATCTGGTCTTCATCATTTCACAAAATCAAAGGATTCTCATTCAAGTCTAAAGAGAAATTGGTGCCAAGAAGACTTTTATTTGATTTCGCTTATTTTTCTCTTTTTGTT